AATGAGAAAAGGGACTATTAATAGTATACAGTTAGATTAGTTATGGTACTTACTTTTAGACAGGAGTAGAATTTGATATTCCAGTAATATACAAGTAAATATCTCAATRATATTCTCCACTCCAAGTAATAAAAATAACTCTTTTAATGAGTAATCAAATAATGGTAGTTCATTCGGTCCAGGTCGCTGGCACGTAATGTCCTCATTAATACCCTTGAATCGCATAGTACGTCCAGGCGGAGGTAACGGCACCTCAAATAACAAATTATAAATGTAGGCCTCTAATGGAAGGGAAAGAAGTTGTTCATTAACAGCGGCTTCGTATAAATGYTTTAAAAATTCACTGCAAGCTGATATAAAAGGCAAAGGCATGATTATTGATACACATTTTGAGACCATTAGRACATCGTTGTTCAAGTTAAAAGTTGAAGATTCTTTGTCATCTTGTAGTTCAAAGTGAAAATCRAGTTGCTCGTCTGATGCTGGTGGACTGTCCAGAGAATTTGGAGCAGGAGATCTTGATCGCATTCTTGATTTAGATCTTGCGATGTTAAGTTCAGCTTCATGCATGGCATGCAAGGTTTGCATAGCTTCACAGATCTGTTTGTTTTCAACTTTCTCATAAAAGGTAAGGGTACAGCCATAAATTCTTGTACCATCTTCACGGGTGATGAGAAATGAATGAATAACTGGGTCATGGGGCTCTGACTGCTTCTTGAACTGAAGGCCTTGGGGTAAGGAAAGCTGCAGAAAGAAAAAAAGGAGTGGTAGATGGATGGACTGAACATACATGTACTTTAATAATCAATTGATTGATTGAAGGATTGAATGGATGAATAAATGAACAAAGTGAATGAATGGATGGATGGATGGATGGATGGATGGATGGACGGACGGACAGATGGATGGATGGATGGATAAATAAATGAACAAAGTGAATGAATGAATGGATCGATGCATGGATGAATGGATGGAAGGATGGAGGGATGGATGGATGGATGGACAGATGGATGAGATGTAAAGATGTTAAAAGGCTATTGTTTTCTGATGCTTTCTGATTGGCTCCACTACCCAAAGTTGGAATGTATTGTTTTTATTCTACAATTTGATTGTTTCTTGCTGCCGGCCCTGGTTATAGTAGTCGCACTGTAATACATACCAGTCTTACAGCATCTTCATCAAAAGGATTCCATTCAACATTAGCAGGGTAATGTGCTAAAACCTTGGCTTTGTATGAACGTTGAAGAGGTGAAATGTGAAGAGAATCTCCTTTAAAACCAAAAATAAGCATWAGAGTTTGTCTACATCACAACAGTTTTTTAATATAATACAGTATCCTTGTAGCTGTGATCAATCAAATGTAATCAGTCAGTGGCATTYTGATAAACCAAATTCCAATGAGCAATTTTCAACTACAAAGTTTGTGTGATACTGAAAACTAATACAGTATCGGCATGACCAGAACATGACCACAGCGAGCATGTACCCTGGTAACAGCCTCTCCCCTCTGTGTTCACAGGTTTAATCCAAAGACTTCCCATAAAAATTGTTAATTTGAAGCTTGCATTATTAAATGAATATCACTAGTGATGTCACTCCAGAAAAAATGTCAACAAACATTGGACTTTTAGTYTGCATTTCTTTTATCACATCCTGGCATTCTTTTGTGGGAAAGAAAATTATGAAAGGATACTGACAGGTGAAGAAGGGAATTCACCAGACTACTACACTATTTCAAACTGACAGTGCCAGATTACAAACTATAAACAGTCATAACTGTAATTCAAGTTTCAAAAATGAGATTAGGAAAATAAAAGAACGAAATACCCATTCCAAACTTAAAACATGAGTCTTTTTGAGCCTTTATAGGAGCGCACAGTGCATGTTACATCACAGCCGCCATGTTGGTTGACGACAGCGAAGCATTCCTCATTAACTTCTCTTGTTAGATCATCCAACATGGTGGCTGTTACATTTTATTCATATCTAAAGGGATTTTGAGTCATGTGGTTGCACCCCAAGAATTGGTGAGTTTGACAAAGATTATGACAGCTCCAGTAACACATTACTGTTGGTRGTTAAGCAGCCTTGTTCAGTAACCCTCAAAGTTCTTTGAATAGAGTGCAAACAATTAATCCGTGAAACACTAATTACTAAATAGTACAAAATAGT